TCACAGGAAGAGACAGGAAACAGGGTGAGCTCACACACACACACACACACACACAGATAGAGACACACACACACACACACAGATAGACACACACACCTAGACACACACACACACACACATAGACACATAGACACCTAGACACACACACACACACACACACATAGACACATAGACACCTAGACACACACACAGACACACACACACACAGACACACACACACAGCTGCAGTAGTTGGAAGGAAGAACTGCAGTTCTTCATAATTTCTCTTCATGTTGTGATTATTAGTTTTAACAGAAATGTGTTTTTATGAAATGATGTGAAATATGGCAGCAAACTTACTGAGTTGTTCACCTGGGCTCAGACAGAACTGGACCCACCACGGGGTTAAAGGTCACCAGGTCCTACACCTGGTTTAGCTGCAGTTGTGTGTTTGGCCACCAGGTGGAGCCGTCCACTGCGGGAGGCTGCACTGATAAACGATTCATTTAATGATTCATTTCTTCTTCTGCCGTTTCTCCTGCAGATTCCTGATGAGTTCGATAAAGGTGAGTCTGTTTGGTGTTTTCCTGGTGAGTCAGATGAACAGAACCAGACATGACTGGGTTTAGTCTGGCTGGTTCTGGTCGTTTAGAACCTTTTTAACCTCAAACTGAACATCTAAAATACGTCAGGTTTTGTCTGGAGACAGACGAGAGGGATCCTGATGAACTGGACCCAAACAGAACCAGAACACCGGTCGAACAGCAAAAGAATTCATACGCCTGAACTTTCCAGGTGCTGATGTGAAAACGGTGCGACTCCTTAAAGTTTTCAACTGTAACTCTGAAAAGTGTGGCATGTTTTTTTCATTGAGTCAGAACTCCACCGGGTCGAGCTGCAGAACCGGCTCCTGGTGCTTTTGTCCGTTCTGAGGGTCCGTCAGTCTGGATGGAGATTCTGGTATAGACTTTGACTAAGCCACTCTAAGCCATCAACATGCTCAGATCTAACCCATCCCTTGATAGCTCTGTCTGCGTGTTCAGGCTGCTTTTGTCCATGATTCTGGTCATCCTGTGATTCTGAAACCAAAACCAGGACTGCTGCACTGAAGAAGACTCAGGCTTTCAATCCGTTTCCATGGCGACAGCTCTACTGAAACCCCGGCAGGAAGCGGAAAGTCGAGTGGAAGGAAAAAGTGTGGCGGAAAATGTAATGAACTCTAGGAGGAGGAGTTCCTCAGGATCAGCGCTCCGGTCCTGGTGTGTGTGTGTGTGTGTGTGTGTGTGTGTGTGTGTGTGTGTCTCCTCATTAGGCTCTACTTTGCATTGATGAGCCCAAGGCTTCATGGGAAGTGTAGTCTTTGATGATCCTCAGAGATCAGATGGATCTGATGGACCGGATCCTCCAGGTTCTGCTCCCGTCCCGGTCCGATGTTAGACCATCCTGTGTTGGTCATCAGAACCGGGTCCAGGTTCTGAAATGCAGCAGGCTCCATTAAAGCTCTGGTTCCGACACGGTGAAAGAACCGCCTGGGGTTCTGATGGAGAACTCACAGAACTTCACTGAGGTCCGATCTGCTGGAGCCGCTCGCATCCCACCTGGTGATGACGATTAGGGGAGCGGTTCTTCTTCTTTTGCTCCGTCTTCCTCATTGGTCCTGAACCGGTCTTTCAGAACCTGGTATTGCTGCAGAGGCTCAGACTAAAGCAGTAGAACTCTGGTGTCGGTTCTGGTGGTTCTGGTGTCCTTAAAGCTCACTCGGCTGCTATCATCGGGTCGGATTCTCGTCACCACTGAGCCGACCCGGTACCAACGGGGTTCTGGTGCCGCATATTCCTACTGGAAAACCCAGAAAGCCCAGCAGAACCGAGCCAGGCTGGTTGAAAGGGCATCAGAACCGGTCAGCAGAACCTGTGGCAGGTTTGGGTTCTGATGGGTGTTCGGTTCTGTTCCAGATCCGCCCGTCGTCCAGCAGCTCAGGAGAACCTACAAGTACTTCAAGGATTACCGACAGGTGAGCAGAACCGCCAGCCGGGTCGCCCCTCCGACCCAAACATCTTCTGGAACCAGGAGCAGCAGAAATGGCTGGTTCCGGTTCCTCCGGACTGGATCAGAACCTTCCACCAGGGGACTGTTTCCCAGCAGAACCAGGTCCAGGTGGTCAGGAGGTTCTGCGGGTTCCACATGGTTCTGTAAGGTTCTGCTTTTTGCCGTCTGTCCTGCAGATGATCATCGAACCGACGAGTCCGAAGCTGCTTCCCGACCCGCTGAAGGAGCCGTACTACCAGCCGCCGTACACGCTGGTTCTGGAGCTGACCGACGTCCTGCTGCACCCGGAGTGGTCGGTGGGTCGCTGTCTGTCTGTCTGTCTGACCTTTGACCTGTGCTGCGACTTGCGTCAGAGCCTCCGATCTCCCCCGGTTCTGCTGTGAACCGGGTCGGTCAGAACCTGTAACCTGATTGTTGTGCTGTGTGCCCAGCTGTCCACCGGGTGGCGCTTCAAGAAGCGACCCGGCATCGACTTCCTGTTCCAGCAGCTGGCGCCGCTCTACGAGATCGTCATCTTCACGGCCGAGACGGGCATGGTGAGCGACCCGAACACGGCGGGTCACACGGCGCGGTCCTGCAGGAACGGGTCAGAACCGGGCTCTGTTTGTGTTCTGACAGACGGCGTACCCTCTGATCGACACCATCGACCCGCAGGGCTTCGTCATGTACCGGCTCTTCAGGGACGCCACGCGCTACATGGAGGGCCACCATGTCAAGGTCAGCTTCCGGGTCCGGTCCGATCCACTGCTTTTCTCCTCAGAACATTTCTATGGCACCAGTAACCACGGCAGCGTTTCGGCTTCCTGCAAACCTGCAGCTGCCATGTTTGTTTGCTGAGCTGTGCTGCGTTCGCAGGCGGTGGGAAGTTTCTGCTTTATCTGTGCTGTTTGTGTAAAACAACGATAATCAATATATTGTTTGTTTTGAGTTGTTTTCTGATCAGGGAATTTTTAAATGGTTTATTTCCAGTCAGAAAGTTTTACCAGTTTTACCAGTGGGGCCCCCAGCGGGTCCTGGAGGCCTCCTGGTTGCAGTGATGGCTCCTTGGAGGGACACTGACCTGCTGCTGCCCCCTGGGGGCCTCCGGGCTCAAATGACAACACAGTTAAAGGCAGAGCAGAAGAGCGCCCCCCACAGGCGACCGGGCGGGTTTCAGGTCCAGCAGGCCGGTTCTGACCCGTTTGTCTTGCAGGACGTGTCGTGTCTGAACCGGGCCAGCAGTAAGGTGATCGTGGTGGACTGCAAGCGCGAGGCGTTCCAGCTGCAGCCCTTCAACGGCCTGGCGCTCAGGAAGTGGGACGGAAACTCCGACGACCGGACCCTCTACGACCTCGCCAACTTCCTGAAGGGTGAGCAGTTCTGGTTCCGACCCGAGGCGGCTCTGGTTCTGGACCTGCCTCCGGTCAGAACTTAATTTAGTTCAAAATGATCAAAAATGTAAAACCAGGAAACTGTGGGAATAAAGAAGTCGTAAAATCAGGATTTAAAATTGTTTTAATGAGGAGGAAGCGGCTCGGCCCGTTGGGTTCTCTCATCAGAACCATCCACAGTTCTGATGACGATGATGTTGGGTCAGAAGGTGAAGAAGTTCCATGTTTTTTCATCCAGTGCTGAAGCAAAACGCCACAACATGCTCAACATTTCTCCTCCAATCATTTCTCTAATTTATGATGAGATTTTCTCACATTGTTACGATTTTCTTTTCCAATGATCAGAACATTGAAATGATCAATAAACCAGTTTAGAAACTGAACATCCAGAATGTTTGACCCGTTTAAAATCATTCAGAACCAGAACCAAACAAGAACTGGGTCCAGATTTAATTCCTTGTTTCCAGTTACTCAGATTTAATCGTTGGAGTTTCCGAAGCGTTTCAGCTCAGAACCGACCCGGTCTGACCCGGTTCTGACCTGACCCGGTGTGTTCCCTGCAGCCATTGCTCTGAGCGGTGTGGACGACGTGCGCAGCGTTCTGGAGAACTACGCCCTGGAGGACGACCCCATCGAGGCCTTCAAGCACCGCCAGGCCCAGCTGGCCCAGGTGGGACGGTTCTGGTTCTGACCCGGTTCTGTTGTGGTGCTGGTTCTGACCCGGTGTCGCCCCTGGCAGGAGGAGCAGCAACGCCTGGCGGACCTGTCCCAGCAGAAGAAGCCGGCTCTCTCTCTGGGCTCCATCACGACCCGGTTCTGGCGCTCCAAGCAGCAGTGAGGCCTGCAGGCCCCTCCCACCCACACCGCTCCACCAATCACAGCCCAAGGAGGTGAGGGGTGGGGCCTGGAGGGCGGGCTCTGGAGGCCCCGGCCCCCTTCCTCTCTGTGTGTCCTGATTGGACCCAGGTGAGTTTGGACCTGCTGGAGGTCGGCGGCTGATCCAGAACCAGAACCAGCTCTGGTTCCCTCCTCCGCCTTGGACCGGACCTGGTATCGGTTTCCCCTCCGTCCTGCAGGGGGCGCAGTGACTCTGACAGTACAGAATAAATCACTGATGTTTAGACGTGAGCAGCGGTTCTGGTGGACGTTGGACCGGACCGGAACCGCTGGAGGAGCTGCTGCTGCGGTTCCAAAGCTTTCTGTCGGCCTCATAAAGCTCTGAACACAACAAACATGTGGTGTGATTTTTCACCAGCAGGTGGAGCAGCTGAGCCTGGCGGGCCCGGTTCTGGGTTGGAACCGGACCTTCAGAACATCAGACCAATAAAAAGTTTAATAAACTCAGCCTTCTTCCTTCCACTCAACTTTCTCTGCCTGGACACAGCTGTGAGCAGCCAGCATCTGTCCACTCAGGTGGATCAGAACCAGAACTTTTTATTGGTCTGATGTAATATTCTGATATTTACTGGAATAAATCGGATTTCAACCAGAATATTGATTATTATTAATTATTGATCAATAACTGTCCGCCCCGCGATTCTTCCATGAGTCATCAGAATGTCTGGCAGAGGTGGCGTCATGCTGTGGGCTGGTTGGTTCTGTTGGACACCTGCTGGAGTTCTGGTCCAAATCTGACCCGGAACCGTGGATGAAGACGATGGCAGGAAGACATGAAACCTTTTAGTTTTGGATCAGAATTTTATCAGAACTTTTGTTTGTTTTCAGATTTCCTGATTAAATGTAAACATTTTTCACTCTTCAAGCCGGTTCTGTTGGGTCAGAACCTGGAATATTAACTTGGTGATAAATCAAAGTTCAGCTGGACGGGTCGCACTGACCAGAACTTCAACAGAACCTAAAACTAATGAATCAGAAGTAATGATGATGTTGATTGGACCTGCTGGTTCTGAGACCCGATGTTTGAGTAGAGCTGGAAGACCGGGTCGATTCTGGTCGGAACCAGACAGGTTATCAGAACCTTCTGCTGCTTTCGGATCAGGAGTTGGAATAAAAGTCGGTTCTGTTGGTTCTCAGCAGAATCTCCACTTTATGAATGTAATATTTTACTGGTTCAACGGTTCTGGACCGGTTCTGGTTCGTCTGGATCTGTATCTGGCAGAAATGAATGCGTCTCCACTGGACCGGCTCTGTAGTTTGGTTCGGTTGGCTGAACCGGGCCAGACGCGGTTCTGTTTTAAACGGAAGCTGCTGGGTCAGAACCAGAACCGCGGCTGGGTTCGGCTCTGCACCAAACGGTGGGAGTCAGGAAGCCGCAGACGTTCCCAGCTTCACACCGCGCAGCCTCCTCCCGCAAACAGCTGCGCCAAACAAAAGCCGCAGTTAGCGCGAAGCCGAGAAGTGCGCGCGCCGCCGCGGGGAGCGTGAAAGGGACGCGGCGCGTGGCGGGAACAGGAGGTCAGCAGGTAGGTGTGAAGCCCCCACGCTGTTCACACACACACACACTGAGGAAGAGGAACTTTAGCGACACTTTATTCCAGGTTAAATGGATCAGAACCGGGTCCAAACAGCGCAGCTTGACTGAACCAGTTAGAACAAAACAAAGCGCTTTAAAACTTTACATTTGGTTAAATGTGATCAAAATAATCAACACGGATCAAATATGGTGATTATCAGTCAGGAGCAGCTCTGACCAGGCCTCGGTGTTTCAGCTGTTCTTCGGTTTCCTGACAAAGTTCCCGTTTTAACCGCAGTTTGAATATTTTATTTTGAAAAATGTCAACCTGCGTTTCACTTTTTCCACTAAACTTTGTGTTGCAACATTTGAGCTACATGATGAAATATAACCCAATAAGCAAAAACATGACAGTGACAGAATAATGAGACAATGAAAAATTATAATCCAGACCATAATAATCAGTTACTAATAATCAAATCAGCTCCAACCAGCTGGTTTCAGTCTGGATTTAACGGAATCAACTTTATTTGTATCAAACATTTCAGCAGTGAGGCTCAAAGAGCTTCACAGAAACACAAAGTGAACTGTTGGAGCCAGAGGCACCAAGACACCAGGTTATTGATCAGTGTTTCATTGATTATGTTTCCATAGCAACTCTAACCAGCTGGTTTCAGTCTTTAAAGGAACTCAGGGTTTCTGCTGTTTTTCAGTTTTCTAGAAGTTTGTTCCAGATCTGTGGTGCATAGAAGCTGAATGCTGCTTCTCCATGTCTGGTTCTGGTTCTGATGCAGAACAGAAACAGAACCAGAACCAGCAGGTTGATCCAGCAGCAGATCTTTAATCCGTTCAGTGATTTATAAACCGGATGGTGTAGAACCGGGTGGTATAGAACCGGGTGGTGTAGAACCAGGAGGTGTAGAACCGGGTGGTGTAGAACCAGGAGGTGTAGAACCGGGCGGTGTAGAACCGGGCGGTGTAGAACCGGGTGGTGTAGAACCGGGTGGTGTAGAACCGGGTGGTGTAGAACCAGGTGCTGTAGAACCAGGTGCTGTAGAACCAGGAGGTGTAGAACCAGGTGGTGTAGAACAGGGCGGTGTCTCTACCCTCCTGGTTCTAGTCAGATCTCCAGCTGCAGCTTCTGGTCTCAGTCTGACCTGCTGCAGGAATCAGAGCCACTAAATCCTGGATGAGTTTCTCTGGTCTCAGGTTTTAGTCT